ATAACCATTTAGCATTAGGCATGTATAAGTGTGTTCTATTGATCGCTATCCTGACCGTTGCGCCTGCAGAATTGATGAACACGACACGGGGTTAGGGACACCAAGGATATTATATAGAAAATCTCTATATAATGTCCTTGGGAACGACCAATTTGGCAGAGAAACGCACCTTTCCCCTTGGTTCGACGCATCGTATCAATCCCGCCGTAAGTAGGAGCTCCTGAGACTGGTTTGGCTGTATGGTGGTGGGGAAATAGTCAACATAAATACTAGTAGTTACTTCGTGTTAGAAAAATGAGCGCTGCTCGTATATATTAAGCAAAATTTTCGTTACTATAAGATAACTTAATGAAAATGTTCAGCCAAATATACTATGATAGGCTATGATATACTTAGCCATGCCAAAAACTTAAATCATATGCCAACTCTAAACCACAGCTTTCACTCATAGGTTAATGCGCGCATGCATTATAATGACAATGTTGAAATATTACCATTAGCACAATTCATACATAGAAGTACGTACGAATGCACTAAGCGCTTCTAGCTCTTTTTGACTGATAATGAAGCCAAACGTAATATCTTCTTACTCATGATATATATCGTACATGTAATTAGTTATTTGTTAATTACATCGTTGGGTAAGAGAGGGTGCACTGTATAAATCATTATGTTTACCGCAGGAAAACATATTGTTTTTGCTCAGTTTCTTCCTCTTCTTCTTCTCCAAACAGTGACCTCTGACCTGACCAATGACATGATTTGTTGACGCGTTGGGTTACATAATGTTGCAATTTCATGGTCTGCTCTGCTCCTATCACCATATACAAGTAGTATGTATGTGAATGTGTCTGAGTAAGAATTAACAGATCATACCATGTCCGAAGGTAAACATTGTGCATTTGCTTTGCAAATGTTACTTCTCTAGTTTGGTTATTATTGTTGTTTTATATGCGTACCTGGTAGTTTGAGGTGTGGATGGCGGGTCACCTCCAGTGTCTCCTCCCCGGTCTTCCCGTCCGTCCCGTCCGGCTGTTTCCGCCCCATGTTGTAGTAGAAGGCGAACCGCTTCTTGTCCTGTCTGTTGCGCCGCCGTCTGACGAAGTACACCACCAAGCCCACACAGATGGCGAGCCACAGACCCCCCGCGATGGCGCCCACTAGGATGGCGATACTGCTGTCGTCCAGCCAGGACTGGGAACCTAGGAGTCAATGTCCTGATGTTTGTTGATCTTATTTAGATTCTCATTAAAAAATTGCGTATCGGTGTGGTTCAAGCACCACTAACTGACCCAGTCCAGTGGCTCTGAACATTTTGGCCTAGGGGTTAGCGCGTTGCGTTCGTAAGCAGGCTGCCTGGTTTCGGGAGCCAGGGTAGGCTATACTACTCGTCTCCTGCTTTAATCCATTGGATATTAACATATAGTCATGAGAATTGAAGGTTCAATGTACTCTATAACAGAAAACCTACATAAAAGTGAAATCTGTACATTATAGGGGTAGGCCTATACAAACGTTAAATGATGTCTTTGCCAAGTCAGTCCTACCTTGAACGATTACTTCCACAGACTTCAGGTCGCTTTTCCCGACAGAGTTGGCCGCTGTGCATGCGTAGATACCGCTGGCGTTCACCGTGACGTCATCCAGCACCACAGATTCTGCGCGGACGTCACGTGACACAGTCTTCGTCACCCCGCGCAGGCGCACTCCGTTCCGTGTCCACGTGATGTTGGGAGGGGGTTTCC